CCTGACCGTATAGTGACCTAGTCTACCGCTTCAAAATCTAATGAATATATGCTTCCTTCTGAAACACGTTTCTTATGGATCATCCTTAAATTGAGATAATTTTTAAAAAATCATATTCTACAATTTTGTTATTTCTTTCCACAAAGAAGAAGGTACGACCGCTTCGGTCTCGTATTTGTGTGATTGAAAGTTTGTTTCATCATAGTTTGTTGAGACATCCAACTGTCTAATATGACTTTCGTATTTTGAGTGGAGCCAAGCTTTTTTCTACTTCAACTTATTACCAATGGCCAAAAATGTTCAACCTTGTTTCTTCGAGAATCTAACTTGTTTGCCATCTAATTGCACTTCATCTCGTAAAAAACTTTGTCACGTCAACTTTCACTCACACAGTTGCAAGTTCTCTTTTCCTTGTTTTACTCCCAAATCAGTATTTAAAATACAAACGTAATTCATTCTGACCGACTACCATAACTAGTTGATTTATGTTTCCAGTTTGCTCAGAAAAATCTGAAAAGCTTAGCTTTTGCTATACCTCAGTCCTACAAGCATGAAATCGATAAAGCGGCTTTGCCACGTTTCAATCATTTCTCTAACGATTTACGTCTACCTCAACTCCTGATAATGATTTATTTCTAAAATAGAATACAACTATGAAATGCAATCATTTTTTAAGATGTATCTATCAGATAGTGGATCGATAGTTACAAAAATATCTGTTAAAACTACGTCTTTATCGGCTTTTTCTATCATATATGATAACTCAGAGGCAGGCATGAAACAACCCCAGGTAACCTTGACTCTTCTCTGAACGCCCACGAATCTCTGACTTCGGACTATGAGCGATAAAAAATTAAACTAATCGGAAGCCGTTTGGAATTCATAGAGAACGGCAAATTTGTTCTGTTTGAATTGCACAAATGCATCTAAACCTTCCTTTTAGTCATCTTTTAATCTACGGTAATCCGGCTTCCCAAACTGATTAATTTTCCCACAATTTTTGGTTGGCTTATCTAATTCACAGATATAGTTAGTGCGACGTACGCAGGCATTTCCTATTTGCTGGACCCGAATAAATGTGGGAAACGCGGTAACATGGTGATCGTGGTTTTGGGAGGTGCCCCGGAAGCTCTGGACTCACGGCCAGGAAAATATGTGTTTCACACGAACCGGCGATATGGATTTTTCAAGCTGGCACTTATGACCGGGTAAGTGTGCTCATGCAACATTACATTCATAAACCAAAACAAACACGGACTTTCGGGAGCAGGTGGGATGCGAACTCGAGAGAAATGATTGTGGCCGAAAACAAGTCTAGCGTAAACATGCGGACTAGAAAATAAAATCACGGATGAGGACAAAAAACTTTACATTCTTAGCAGTTCTGATGAAACTTTTTCGGTGATCTGACAAGTTATTTTGAAATTTCACGCATTTTTTTGTCTAGCTTACATATTCATGGTTCTGTTATCCCTTGTTCCTTAGACTGCTTCAAACATGCCAACAATCTGAATGTATGATTACACTGCTTCAAATGAGACTTATAAATTTGCATCCTGTTGATCGAAGAGCTAAAAAACACTCGGGCGCTCTGCTTCTTAACAAAATAAGCAATTATTCTGATTAAATAGCCATTTAAAACAACTTGGAATTTAAAATTTAAGTTTTTTTCATAACGTTAATGCCGTGGAAACAAACGTGGCTGATGTGAGCTACGTCAATGTCAAACAGAAACATAGTAATAGGTCTGTTGTGATTGTCATCAAACGTTTTCCCTGAACGAGACAATCATAAAGGAAAAGCCTGGCTGACAATTTATTTTTTTCAAATTTATGGAAAGAGCAGCGATGTACTTGTTAGCCCAGTGTGAGTTCTTCTGAGTGTGGTTCTTCTCGGTTATATCCACAAAATCTCTGGCACATAAAACACGCATCGGACATTTACGTGTTTCTCTTATGCAGTACTGAAATTGCAGTGTAATCTCATCTAATGTGATTTTATAAGGAGGGAAGTTGGTTTCTGAGAAGCACTCCAAGTTAACCGACTTTCAGTGAGTTATTTTCAGTGCTTGAACTAACCCTCATAAAACAATCTTGGTAATCATGGATGGCACAAATAGATTATCGTCCGGGTTCTGCACAGACTGAAACCCTTTTAATCACGTCACCTGAAATCGCATGTCATACGCAATAAACTACCACGTGGGTGAAGCAAGTCAGTGGCAGTTAAGCAATCCTTTGTTGAAGACTAGTGATGAATTCCATGCTACCCAATCCTCTGACTGAGAGTAATTGAGTAAGTTATTACAAGGCAAAAACAACCGGAAGGTGAGCGAGACTGTGATGGAATGAAGATTATCTAATGGTATGTTGCTTTGTCGTTCATCAGTGGAATACTTATCAAAACATTTGAAAAACTTTCAGCAAGCCATAGCCACAATAAATCCGGTCCTAGTGATTTCAACAAATGCTCGGCCGTTTCTTGAGAATCAATAAACGAATCCAGTTTATCAAGTTTGCTAAACTGGATATCAGAGTGTTTCCGCCAATTACGTCCAAAATAACAGATGCTTACTGTTCAGTATGAAGATGACAGTATATTTAGTAAACTAATGATGAATGGCTTGGTTTCCTCTCGCTCACGGTCCCTTGAAACACGTCGTACTCAAAATGTCAAAATGTGTTAGATTGTCTTGTACGCGTCCATCAGTGCTTGAAGAATAGGTTTATAATGTGATAAATATACCACAGATGTTAGAGAAGAGTTCCTTTCTGGTCGATGAATTAAGAAGAAATGCGAGTTAAATGTTTCACTTGCCTTTTTCTTACCTCCGTCAGTAAATGTCCTCTAACAATGTTGATAATAATGAGAACTTATGCCGTTCGAGCCTCATCTGGCAGTAGTGTCTTGATGTATAGTTTGCAAGTACATCCGGATCTAGAATGAATCGCTCTTTTTCACTCAGAAATAGTTTCATAGGATACGATACGTTGAAGAGCTGCAATAATTGTTAGCATGCCCATGCGGTCTGAGATCAAACCTTACTTTCTTGGCAGAGGAGGTTAGATACTCTTTGTGCAAGAATTATCTATCATATTTCTGGTTATTCTGGAAACGTGCAATGAAAATTTGTGATAGACCGCAATGATTTTTTATCGCTTAAATCTGTGCGTCTCTGTGTGTGAAGTACACAAATGATGCGATCCTCATGACTTGAGACAGCACGAGAAAACGATCGTACTGTTCAGCTGATTTCATACTATCCGTTCATGTGATTCACATGGAAGAAAACCGATCGGTATCAGACAGCGTCAGAGACACCGATTCGGGGAGTTTAATCCAACACCGTTTATTCTGGGTGCGATAGCATCAATCACAGAAGGTCGATGTTTTCTCATTGAAATTGTAACGTTAAGATATGAGATTGGATCCACTTTTGCCGCCTCTCTCATCTGGGAGCCTGAATTTGCTAAGAGAAGTTTACTAGCAATACCTGGTGATGAACGACTGAAATCTCATTAAAAAGCTTTTCAAATGCACTAAACGCTACGAAAGTGAAACTGAACATATTCGTCAAATTTCACGAACATTTTACACTCCCACGCATCCAGAAGGTAATTCCAGCACGAAATGACAGACTGGTGTGTGCAGTTTAATCGGATATATTGACTAAACTTCGAGACAAGTGCCGAATGTGAATACTATTATTATTGTTATTATTAGAATCAAAGGTGAACGAGGATTGATTGACCTTGGTGTGATAGAATAATCTGTTTCTACGCACAGAATGTCCGTCACTCGGGCATGGAGTTATCAATGAAAAAAGGCCGGCATCAGATTTCAATCGATCGATCTATCGGGTTAGTGCAGTTGATTTTATATGCGACACTGGTGTGCATGTCGCTACCAAATGCCCTGTGCTTATCTTTGGGAACAGTTTGAACTTGCACATACCATTAGTCCATAATGTTTTCCATAGACTTGTGAATCAGTCTCCGATTTGTGAGTAGAACGTTAAGTACACTGAAGGAACGTAGCGATACACAGCGGGAAGCACAGTGACTTGTTTTCCATTGGTGACGAAATTTCGTTCATCATGTATCCAGACTTAATTAGCATCGACTCAATCACTTTTATTTTTGGTATAATACGCTTATTTTGTAAAGAAGAAAACATTTAATTATTTTTAATAGCTAAACAAGTAATTGGATTAATGAAATTTCAATTATTTGCAAAGCACTCATTAAGAGCTTGTTTTTTCTCACCTCCAATAGAACTCCTTTTTACGAACTTGGCATCACTGAATACCTACGATTACGATCGGTCTACGAAATCATTCACATTACTTACCACACCTGTGTGTTGCTCCAAACTACTGCATTCAACCAGTACATTGGGTGAAGTTAAATTACAAGAAAATATGCCAGCATATGTTGCTCGTATTCCATCTCTTTCCGTAGCCATAGTAAATCAATAAAAGTAGTAAAACTATGTTGATAACTGTAGAGTATTTCATCAATCGTATCAATCTGGAGCACGGAAAACCAGTACACTCAGCGGGCGGGGTAAGGGAAAGCGTTTTTCTAGCTTCGAAAACCGTCAATGGCAGTCATTTAGCGCTGTTGGAATAAAAGACGAATCAATTCAAAATTCGGTTTTGTCAGACTCGATCATCGTTAGCAATGAAGTTGAGTTCCATGACGGTGGTCAAACGGTTAAGAGCATCAACTTATCACCTGTGGGTGTATGTCAAAACACCAAAAGCACCGCATTGCTTTTCTCATTTTCTATGTATTACATGGCAACCATTTTATTGGCCACTTCCCCTTCCTGAAAACTATATATTCAGAAAAAGTGAATAAAAGAAAGACAGAAAAACATCTTCATGGAAGCTAATTCATTGGGCTTTGTACGAAACTGAGTTCTTCACTGTTCTGGCTATAGCTCAACTGGTATGTATGTCTAGCCTTTTTATGGTCTATTTTATTTATATCAAATAATTCAAGTCGTTAATTTCCTTTATAGTCTAATTTGATTTCCGAGAGCTAGTCTCTGTCGAACACCAAATTAAACTTATTACAAGACCGTCTATGTGGTGATCCCAGAAAATGTTTTCAAAACAAAAAAAAAATTAGGTGAATATACAGAAGTTTGTGGATGTATTCCGATCATTTTGCCCCTAACTGGGAGCAGCTTAAATCTGCAATTCCGAGAGCACAGATACGGTAACTGCAATGCGTCAGTTCAAGTGAAATCATCGCAACCTTGATAACTCTAATACCATGAAGAGATTGCTATTCTAGTCGGAGTTCATGTACGCGGAGGGACAGAAGTGACTTGGATCATGTACAGAGTCTCTGCAACGAAACCCATAGACACAATGTACTGCGATGTCATTCAAGCGAACACAGCTATAGCATAGCATGCGATCTACAGTTGACGATAGTTAGGACATTGCGAAATTTCAACCACAGAGTTATCAACGACGTTAAAAATTTACACTGTTCGTCACGCGGAATGAAATATACAGTTTCATATAACATGTAACATGAAGAATGTTGGAGTTTGTTTCGAGTACAAACGTTTTGACGTAATTCACTTGCTACCTGTTCCTTTTTGGTTAGGAGTCGAGCAGGAGTGTATGGACGGATGGGAACGAAAAGGTGATAGATCGGGAGACACTGGATGAAGAAGGTTGCCTATAATCATATTTGTAAATTTAACACAAGTCTTAATGTGACCAATAACGAGTTCTATGATTAAGAATCAATGAGGCTTAATGATGCACGACTGATTATCATCCAACCACGACGATTATTTGTTGAATTGAAATGTGTGTGAGAACTGAGTTTGAAATTGGCCAATACATGTCTATTCATTCGAACCTTCTTCTTCAATACAGTGCAATTTTTGAGAGAATCGTGAAATAGTTTATTGGTGAAAAATACTTTGCCCCAGAACATTATTATTCACACAGTTTATGAAATGAACTAAACTATTTCCGCCTTTTTTATTTCAGTTCGGCGCTTGTACCTTGTATCTCATTTGGAGAACCGAATATGTACCACCAAGTTGAAAACCCGCCCGGTTGCCGACTTCGCAGTTGGCAAGATCGCTTCACAGAAATGGCCACATTTTCTCCACCGATTTTTTATGCTCGTATGTTGGTTCCGTACCGAACACCTATCAATACTGTAGGTAAGTAAATATTATACGCTTTTAGCTTAGAATATTTATTTATATATCTGTAAGATTCTGGACTCGGAACCATTTTTTATTTACCGAAGAAAAATGGAAATGGAAAAGCCATGAAATGTCAGGTTGTTCAATTGGTTAACCAACGCGCTAACACCCAAATTAGTAAAATCGGACGTCAAGCTTTTCATCTACTGTATGTGAAAACCAGTCCGATAGTTGGTCACATTACTTTGTGATCCTGTTTACAAGAATGGTGCTGTCTAGGGAGGACACTGCCACCGGAAAGTCATAGATTGCAGGCAGAAATGCCGTTTTATATGGATGGAATAAATGTTTTTGTCTGATAAAGTAACACCAGTATCCCCGTTTGCAGTGATTGTACTTTACCCACACAAAAATGACGATGATATGAAAGAATGAAACAAAGAGAAAATTACATCAATCTCATTGATAAGCCAACACCTTTTTTACTCTCCAAAGACTATGCTCTTTCATTGTTTCCCCAGATTTGTGACTGGATCAGCCGGAATTTATCCTACCGTGCTCAGAACAAGGAGATGTCTGTTTTATTTGTGGAAAGAACGTGACTAAAGTGAATGGGGATACAGTAGAATGGTTCCCAGGATCCATAAGAACCGGTATATACAGCCGGCACCATCAACAGCACGAACACCAATAACAAATTTCTGTTTCAATGAAGTTTGTATCAAAGGAGCTCCCCGGTAAACTACAAATACTATAGTCGATTTGAAAATTGAGTGCTCGCAATCTTGTGATTGAATGCAAACTCATTATAGCATGGGTCAGTTGGTACCGAATTTGAGTGATTCAGCAGCGGTCAAATGACACTTGGGATTCAAGGTCATGTTGTGGGGTCCAATTATTTTCGCCTAGCTATTTTACCTTCTTTGAAAAAGGCCAGTGTTGTTATGGAAGATATCTACTGCAGCGACATTTCTTTTGCATCTCATCAGTTAATTCATGCGAATTACAAATGGACATTATATATATTTATGGGGTAGGGTGATAAATGGATTCAAAGGTGAGATTCATACAATTTGTTCACAAGACAGTGTAACTAGTTTAGCAACACTTTTTTCTACTAATCCGAATACAGATGGGTGGAAGTGGTTAGCAAATGGGTGAGGATGACGTGTTAATGTGTATGTGTGTTTCAGTAGGTATAGGCGGAGAGGGAAAGTCAGAACACGTGAGCATGCGAAGACAGGAAGTTATTAAGTCGATTAAACAATACTGACGATTATCGAGAACAAAAGTTGGAATCCATTATCTAAATAAAAATGTGAAATAGGGGAGGTGGAATTGGTGTGTTTGGGTGGATGTTTTGCGTGAATGGGACAGGGAGAGGAGAACGAAAGTCACAATGATGAGGTGATGGGTAAAAGATGGGTGGGGCTGGGGCGTATTAACTCCACGATAAAACCAATGCGACCACCATCTGCTTCTGAACCCACAGAATTAGGTAGGGTGGTTTCGGACGGCAGACAACTCGGAATGAGTCCTCTGGATTCACTCGGTGGCCGGTCTCCTTCATGAGTTTCGTGATAGAGCTTCGAGCGCTTTCCGTTGCGTTTGCCAGTAGCCATTTTGGAATGTGCTCCGAGATTCGTGTTCCTAAAAGCGGCTACATACGACTGACGCATCTGCGCCCACAGATACAGGAGAATTCATAAACTACATTTGAGCTGGTGGTTGTGGGAATGGTATCCTTTCTCGGTGGCATCGGCACTCGATTCGTCTGCTCAATGAAGACCAACTTGGCCGCATTTTACGTTCAGTTGACTACCGCACGAAGCCGACGTTTAATGAGAATCGATACCGTTGTAAGATAAACAAAGAAAAACACTTTTTCGGGGAACAATCAGCAGTACATGTTTTTCTCTCTGCTGTCTGGAATACTTATCAACGAACTTTTCAGGGTAGCCGTTGTCCAACAGTGTTTCATAGAAGATTGTTGTCTTTGTCAACTTTGTCGTTCGTGGCTATTTGGCGTGCTCGATTAAACAATGTACGAACTAGCTCATGCTTGCTATTGGGGAAAAACTTTTAAGATGCAAGTATTGTCCTGACCAAGTTTTCTCATGGTAGGTACTTCTAGCCATTGGCCCGTCAACCCGTCGTTCTACTTCTAAGAACAGCAAACTCCATTTGTTTCCCTTTCGGTCGTAAATCTGATATTTGTATGTAACGTGTTCAGATGTTGAAACCCTCCATTCATCTGCAGCTCACTCTTGCGAATCAGAAAGACATCGTCAGCACAGGGCCTACGCACGGATACTTGTTGAAGAACTGCATGCGCCCTATCCTCAAGATAACCCATGAAAATATCAGCCAATACAGGTCCTAGAGGGATTCTCATAGCCATTCTGTCTATTTGTTTATAATATTTGCAATCGAATACAAATTGAACATGTGATATGCATAACTTAACAGTCCGCATGATTCCGGAAGTGATATTTTAAGATGTAAGTTGTGCTCGGCCGCGTAATTATGCATTATCGAAATCACTTCCTGAACAGGAATATTTGTAAACAGCGATTGTACATCAAATGATGACATTACCTTGTTTTTTGACGTTCATGTCGGCGATAACAGTGATGCAGCCAAAAGTGTCTCGCAGGCTGTGTTTGCATAGACTCGATTGCACCGGTTCAATTATTTTAACCAACTACAGGGCGAGTCGATGGTACGGTGAACTGATCATTAACAATATCGGTCTCACTGGGGTTCCTGGAGTGTATTTTCGGCAACTCGTGGATGCATGGAGTAGCTGTTCCTATTGGTATAAGAGTGTTCAGAGTCCTTTAGTCAATCACTTAACTTTGTCTTAGATATTTGAATTCCAACGTTACATGGTGCTCAACTTTTAACACAGCGTCGTTTTTATCAGGATCGACTTTCAATTTGGCTTCGTCAGAGAGGATATGCAGTAATTTGCTCAAATAGTCCTTCCGGTTCCTCACGACAACGCCAGAGCCTTTATCAAGTGGAAGAATGACTACGTCCTTTTTCCGTCTCAATAAATTAACATTTTTATTTAGATAATGGATTCCAACTTTTGTTCTCGATAATCGTCAGTATTGTTTAATCGACTTAATAACTTCCTGTCTTCGCATGCTCACGTGTTCTGACTTTCCCTCTCCGCCTATACCTACTGAAACACACATACACATTAACACGTCATCCTCACCCATTTGCTAACCACTTCCACCCATCTGTATTCGGATTAGTAGAAAAAAGTGTTGCTAAACTAGTTACACTGTCTTGTGAACAAATTGTATGAATCTCACCTTTGAATCCATTTATCACCCTACCCCATAAATATATATAATGTCCATTTGTAATTCGCATGAATTAACTGATGAGATGCAAAAGAAATGTCGCTGCAGTAGATATCTTCCATAACAACACTGGCCTTTTTCTAATCTATTCAGGGAAATCATTCCTTCAAGTTCTTGGGTTCTCTCGGGTTCTCTCGCTATTAGCAGCTTCCTTCCGCCCGACAGTGAGAAGTATGGTTGTACTTTTGAATCACATATGGTGATATTATACAATCGGGGTTGTTCGGGTGTTCACTCTTTAATTTATGATGTTCATGCGGTCAGAGCCTACAGTGAACAGGTACAGCACTCCTACCCTATGACAATTAAACTTTCGCACTTGCGGGAGCATCTCTAGGTTACGAATTAGAAAGTGATCACTTGGATGATTAACTGTTAATAGGTGAGCATTGCTTGTTTGACGCAATGGTTGCGAACAATCAGCGGTGAGAATGTCTGAGGATTTAGCGGACTTTCGCCAGAAAGGCTATCTCTCAGAGACGAAAACAATGAAAATCCATGGAAGACTTATGTGAACAGGGACAGCCACTAAATAGCATCGTATTTTTACCCTGCTATCCTACCGGTGGATCTTGATTAGGCAAGACTTAGAGCAGCATCCGCAGCTCAATAATAAAATGGGAATGCCAATGACCCATATTTCTAGGGTTTTTCTTCGTTTCCTTGATGAAACCGACTCACCCCCAAGAAGTAGAAAGTTGCGTAATGGTAAGCAATTGAGATACTCACAATACACAAACAGATTGCATCTCTCAGCTTAACTAAGATTGAGATAGTGTAATCAGCCTATTTAATGCCTACAGCGGTTTGGCATTATTCAGCTACTGTTCATTCATTTCGACCAGTTCTTGTTCGGCAATAAGGTCAATTTATCAAAATGGCACGGAAGAGGGTATTCTCCAGCTCTGGCTTGGGTTTAGATCACCACATGACTGCTATTTTGATGAGATATTTGATACATGAAACACAATGGCACAAAAGAATGATTAAATTCTACATGTATTTTCGAAGAGTCATTTCAAAAATGTCAAATCTCGAGAATTCATCTGGTGTGTTCTTTCACGTTAATTTCATCTCGATTTTCCGGAAGTTATACTCGATCTGTTATCTCTGTATGTTTTCCAGTCGGTGCGCCCATTCCAGTACCGTTGGTAGAGAAACCCTCAAGGGAACAAGTGGCCAATTTGAAAGAGCTTTATTTGGAAAATTTGAACAAACTCTTCCAGAAATATAAACCCATCTACGATCCCGATGCGGACGAAGTTGAATTCTTTTAATCGCACAACAACTACGAAATTCTTTTATCCCATGTGTTTCTTTTCACATTCATCGCGAACGTTAAAGGGCACACAAAAAAGAAATGAGAGAACGAGAACAATAGTTTAAGAAAAGTCATCTTGCTTTGAATCACTATTATACACATCTTTTATCTGTGATTTTTAAGATCAGCTATTTTTAGTGATAGCCTTTCGAAATGTCGCTCACGTTTGTATAACATTTATCGCGATACTTTTCAACCAAATTGGAAGAAGAATTCATCTTATTCACGTTGCTGGAGAAAATTATATTTGAAATGCATTTTTACAATGTGCGTGTTATTTCTCACTCTTTCTCTCTCTTCCTCAAATTCGTACTGCAAAGTGCATATTGTACTTGTCCACAATGACGATTACCACCAGACCTATGTGAATTAATTCGATCTGAACAGGTAATTTGATCGATTGTCAGAGGCGGTTTGCAGACTTATTCATGCAAGTATCGTGACGTGAGTAAACCTAGTCCCTGATTGCTTCATGCAACTCACATTTTGAACTTGGTAGTGCGACAGACAGGCATGGTAGAAATAACTGAGCGGGGCTGGCTGTGACCGTCATACCAAATTTCTAAGGTCCACTGGATTCACCCAACAAATTATGTCGTACACACTGGAGTTGGATGCTTAAAAGTGAGTACTAAACTCACGCACAGTTCATAATATTCCCGATATAATAAAATAATAAAATGGCGGCAGTGGTAAAGTGCTGTATGTCATTGTATTATCAGTTCGTAAATCTTTTTCGAACCACCATCACCAATAATTTGACCACTTGTTTGCAGTTCAAGAAGGCCTTGAATCGGATGCCTACCTGAAAATGAAAGTGCCAGCCGCCTACGGAATACACGAAAAACTACAAAGAATAAAAGTTGACATTATTCAAAGGTAACAGTATTAGTTTATAATTTAACGATTTAACATTTAACGATGGATTAATGGAATCAAGAAATGTAACTCAGAACTGTGAGGTTAAGCAAAGGAAACAGTGACCGTAATTAAGGTGAATTATCTCACTTGGTGTTAAAACCAGAAAAAATGACAACAGAAAACAGCCAATTGTACATGACAGCTGCCCAGGCAGGTAGCCACCGCGGATCAACTGAACTTGGGTTGCTGAAAAACATCCAACGATAGATGGGTCCTTTGGTGTTTGTGTGCATGCGGACTGCTAGTTTCCACTGGTGAGAGATTCTATTTACTAAAGCATCTGATTTGTTTATTTCACTCCGTGGAGCCATTCTGTGCCACAAAGATGATTTCCTCAATGCAGAATGCAACACACTATTTATTTCATACACCAGAACGTTTATCGCTGAATTGATAAGTGGCCTCATAGGTAATTATGTGAGAATGTTTCCAGTTTTTGTTCACGTTTCCTGAACGCAGAACATTTTTCTAAACTATCTAATATCTCGATAATCATCCCAACAGCAATCATACTTTTGTGTATATTAATGAACCCGGAAATATGCGAAAATATAGAAAGGAATGAAATGGGAGAAGACGACGCTTTCTTCGAGTAAACCTGAACCAGGCTGTCTTCTTTAATGTTGATTTTAGCGCCATCCTTGAAACTTCATTCTCAAGCACAATGCTAAATTCATCCAGTCAACCGTACACAGCACACTCGAGTTTCGCTCCTGTTTCATCTTATCAACAGGGCATGTTTACAAACTATCCAAACTATCAATGTCTCACAAGTTTGATTCAGTCAATTAAAGATTGACGTAATTCATTTATAACTCGTTCCTTGTTGGTCAAGATTAGAGCCAGATACGGTACAGGGGAGTTTTTATAAATGTTTATTCGAGAACGTAGATAACGACAAGAGAAACGAGTGATCGAGTGGGAGCGACAAGAAGATAAGTTAGGATGTAAAGGATGGGAGGTTTCGTTTAGAATCTTATTGGAGAAGGTCACACAAGACTTAATATGACCAATAATAAGTTCTGTGATTATTGACTCGGCAGAAATTAAAGATGCAAGGCTTATTATCATCGATCTACGACGAATAGTTTTAAAATCTTGTTTCAATAGACCGGGAAATACTACAGGGGAGCAGTAAAGTAAAACAGGGAAAACGCATTGTTTAACAAAGGAGAACAAAACTTGTTGCGGAGTGCGAAATTATCTGAGCTTCTGAAGCTCAAAGGAGAGGCTTCGAAGTTTTCCCATGCAGTTCTGGATGTTTGTCGACCACCGAAGACCGTAACACCCAGATATTTGTCTGAGGTCACTCTGTACAAAAAGGTTACAACTAAGGGAATGTAAAGCGGTAAGAACTAAAAATGCACTCCAAGCACCTAGATGTGTTGAGATTAAGGCCAGACTGGTTTGAAAACTGTACGATTCGGGACAGATTTTCAGTGAAGGAGGAAAATTCCGAAGAAGAAGAAACGGTCTGACAAAACGACATCGTCAGTATACTTTTGGATATGAGCATGGTGTGGAACTGAAAGATCACTAATGAAAGCAGAGAAAAGATACGGAGAAAGAACAGCACCTTTAAGCACACCAGAACTATTGACTAGAGAACTTGAGGTATTTCCTGCCCAGCTTTGTGCACTGGATTCTTTCGGGGAAATAATCAGAAAACCACGAAAGTAGCTGTCTCGGGGTGCCAAAAGTTTCAAGCTTAAAAAGGAGGGATGACCGGGACACAGAATCAAAAGCAAACGAATAATTAATAAAAACGCAACGAACAGATTTGGCAGAGCTGTTCAATGACTTGCTTATAAAATGGACCAGAGTGGAACTATCATCCAAATTGGATTTTTTGGGTTTAAACGCGAACTGAAGAGGATCATGGGAATGGTGACAAATGACTGTAAGCGACTCAGGATGGCTTTCTCAGTCAACCTTAAAACTACAGACATCAATGCGATGCGACGAAAATGTTTTGCAAAAAGTGTTTAGGATGAGGTTTTTGGAACAGGTATTACGGTCACTGGTCTCCAGGAATCGGGGTTCATCTGTGCCGAAATTGACTCGTTGATGAGGGGTGTCAGCTAGCTGGTTTAAGGGGCTGCTCTAAACACTGGGGAAAGACCATCAGGGCCCGCTGATGACGATGGTTTGAAGGAACGTAGAAGCTTAAAAACTTCATCATTGGACTAGGGGAACAGATCGGAATTAGAAACCTCACATGGGAAAGAGGATATATGTTAATCGTTAGATGGACGAAGAAATGCTTCGGTAAGGCTATTTACATCAACATCACTGTTCACGTTTTTCCTATTTTTTCGCAGAGAGGACGAATTCCCTGCCATAGAAGCCTTGTGTTTTTCATTTGCAGATTTAGTAAGCGAATATCTTGTTTACACGTATTATCTCAGCCCTAATTAAGTCAGAATATTACTTTACAGAAGATGGATGATGAGATTTATAGGATCGTTCCTTTTGTCTTCGTAGTGAGTTCAAACGAGATGAAATTTTGCCGTTGCAAACAAACAGTGCTTGCATGGCACAGTAAAAAGAGAAGATAGATTTCATCATTTCGGTGAAAAGACTGGCATAGTTAAGAAGTGATGAACAAGAAGCAAACCAAGATTGGGCAACCATTATGGAACGTCAAAAAAGAGAAATGCGGGTTGATGAAAAGTTAGGGGGAAGAAACCTTATCTGGTTTGGTCGTTGAATGTTAGATATGTAGAGCGAGAGTATATCTATGGTCTTAAGAGAAGAACACAATGAGCACTGGTAGCTACTGGGGCCATTAGCTTGAGGAAAAACGGAGTGGGAGGTTTGTGATCACCCTGACAAGTATAGGGCTAGCTACCTCTGGTAGGAGAATGAGACAAATGGGACTCACCAAAAGAAAGCAGAGGGAAAATCCTTGCATGGTTGAATTCACCAACAGCCAAATGAAGATTCTCATCTAACATTGGAACCGAAAACGGGATGTACTGATCAAAGAAAGAAGATATATCTGATTTGGAGCAGGAAGGAGGTATATACACATCATTAATAATTGTACTTTTAGATCGGGAAAATCTGGGATGACAAAGAACGGATAAACAGTTAATGGATTTTTCACACTAGCTGAATACCACTTCGGACTTACCGCGCCAAGACGTGTTGCTGTACGTTACCACACCGCCTCCAGTTTTCTCCCCGCTATGTTGTCTATCCTGCCTGTAACAGTTGAAGCCATCTATCCGCACAAGAGCATCCTCAGCCTTTTGATTTACCCAAGTTTATTGTATGCATACGACACGTGTTGGAATGGATGCGTGTGTTCAGTGAGAAAGTTAAATCCGAGATCTTTTTGAAGAGAGAGCGATCGTTGGTGCTGACCAATGACGGCATGGTTATATTGGCAGGAGGGGTGCTATTGAGCGCACACCGTCATCCAGCACGCTAGCGATTCTTGATCCAAGCATAATTGCCAGATTCTCCAAGCGTGTTATTTGTGTGAGACACAGAGTTAACAGATTTCAATCTAAGCATATCCTGACGAGAGTAGGTATGGGTCCGGAACATGTTTGACATCGAGATAACATTAAAATCCAGTGAGACGACAAGCATACAAAACGTAGTGCAGCCAATCGAAGGGTGCGCATGACCTCTCTGAATTTCCATTTCCCCTAGGATTTATTGCGGAATAGATGCACAAAGTACGGCACATGGACTGCCAACTACAACGACCTAAACGAAAAACTTTCCTTCTCAATACATATCACCCCAAAGTCAGTTTCTACTGAAACAGAAACTCAAACTGCGTAGAACATAAACTCTAGGCAAGGAAAACCAAAATAATGAAAATCTCGATGCGCCCGCGGGAGGTTTTCTATACAACAGAATTTGTAACAGCCACCAAACGCAACTGGACAGTAATGCGTTCGCTTGAATGACAAGATTTGAATTGCAAACCTTTGGAGTGTGAAGCCGAAACTCTTGCCTTGAACTAACATGATCGACGGTTAATACCTTGATCATTTGGTTGCATTAATTAGAAAAGCT